GTATCTGTTATGATCAACTCAGTTGGTCATCTGTTATGACCAACTGAGTTAGTAAGTAAGTTCATAGATGGTTCTTATTTATAGACATTTATATTATTAAGGTGGGTGTCTCAACGTAATTGAAATGACAAACCAATTTTTTTAGTTGTGGGATATCCGAACTAATGATCGCGTAGAGAAAGAAATCATCCTATTTTCCAACAAAGATCCTGTTGTGATTCAACTACTTTCACACACAATACGGCTCCGATCCAAGGGTCGGGTTTTAGTAGGAATACTTACAGATTTATTATCATCGTTTTGAGTACAATATAGCATTTAATAAAATATTGGCGTATTTTTGCTTGCCAGTAGTTACAATATGTTCTGGTATTTCGTCACACGTCTTGAAAAAATTTTTGATGAAATTAATGTTATAATCTTCTACAATTAAACTAAGTAACATGTTAATTTTATTTGACTGTCAATTTGAATATCGTTAACTTTCTAGTGTTTTTCAATTAGTAGATAATAAAGTATTGATTAGTAAAGTAAAGAGACATTTTTGATTAAATAAGCAGACCACAATATTAACTATCTATGTATATAAAGATATGTCTTTCTTTTGGTACGATTGACTCAAGCATAGACCTCAGTTGTGTCAGCATTGGCTTTAAAGATAGTGTTCTATGCAACCAGCACTAAGGAGATTCTGATATTGGGGCCAAAGACTATTGTATCAACTCCTTCTTCAGTTTTGGAAGTCATCAGTGTACCACGTGTTCACTTTAGGCTTCAAACCAGATTTTCCTTTTTATACGATTGAAAAACAGGACTTTAAGTATTCTGATGAAGTGAATTCAATGGAAATATGTAAGATGTTTTACTTCACAGTTCTTACGATTGCAAAAAAGGACTTTAAATTATCTGATGAATTGAATTCAATGGAAACATGTAAGATGTGTTTCTTCACGGTTCATACGATTGAAAAACAGGACTTTAAATATTCTGATGAAGTGAATTCAATGGATATATGTAAGATGTGTTTCTTCATAGTTCAAACGATTAGAAAAAAGGACTTTAAATTGTCTGATGAAGTGAATTCAATGGAGATATGTAAGATGTGTTTCTTCACAGTTAAAGTCACTTAAACCAAAAGCCACTCGATACCTTTTATATTGAACTAATAATACATTGGATAAGTCTATCAAATTTTTAACTTCCTATCTTGTTTGAAACGGAAAAATTAATGGAAGTTGGTATGTTTTCAATAACTGTTTTTAAATGTTTAGATTATAAAACACAGAGTTGTAGTTGCAGTAGTCTTGCTTAACAAATAGTTACTATTTTAGTATTTGTTTTTGTCATAATTTATTGTTTTTTAATTTTTAATTTTTATTTACTTATTTTTATTATTGAATTATAAATCATTATAATTCCATGACAAGTTTGCCATACTTTCCTACCCGACAACTAAATCATCGTATACAATGCGACATATGCACTCCAGGCACATTCCTCGTGTTTTATTGCGATTTTGTCAGTTAACTTCTGTTAATTGTGGCCTAGGCCTACAGTTTCGAACATGTTATGAGTATCTCGTTTCCAAGTTATCTCGCAACTCACTTTTGTGCAACTGCAACATGTTTCCGTAATCGTGTCTGTCGGTTTATTGCCAGTAATTAATTTAGACTAGCTTCCATAAAAGATTGAACGCCTCATGACCGGTATTACATGAGTATATGAGTAAGCGTTTGTTGGATTGTAAAAACTTGGAAGCGGTTACCGGTACCAGTTTTTAGTCCATTTTTGCGATAATTTAATTGCGTAAAAATTATTTCAGTAATTCATGGCCAAGGTGAATGTTTTCCGCGAGTATGTGTTATATCTCTCAAAGCTAATATATCTCACACATCTGTCCCAACTGTCCTATCTGTCGCAACTGTCATTTTTGGCATATCTGAGGTATTTGAGGTATTTGAGGTATCTGTTACTTCAGTTATTTTGTTTTGTCAGATTTATTTGTTTTTGTTTTTTTAATCGTCGTCGCTGTCGCTCTAATATTGATTTGTATTTATTTAAGCCACCGTGTAAAGGTTTTATGTCATATAATTTGCTTTGGCTTGAGATATAATTGCGTCAATTAAAGCTAAAATATTTTTTTCTCTGTTAAGTTTTTAAACATTTTAATCAATTTGTTTGGCGAGAGTGTTTAACAGTTTGAGAAACGATAAAACAGTTTTGCTTTTGTCGAATGCCGTGTCGAGTATGTCGTCGTGTTGTGCTTGATCTTGAGTGCTGCTTAACCCACTTTCCATGTTGGTCTGTGGGTCTTAAAAATGCTTTATGTTTCCATTGTGATTTTCCTTTTCAAACAATTTCTCCACTGAGGCCAATGCTAATGCTCACAGCGAGGAAAAGTAATTGGAACAGAAAAGATTTTTATGATTCTGTATTATTTTTTTTTTGTTTTAGTAAATTGCAATAAAATTACTAAAGTAACGTTGAAAACTTCGCAGAAATCCCATGCAATAATGTAACGAGTTTAATTAAGTCATTTTTAGTGGTAAAAACGTATCTATCGAAAGGTTCTCTGATATTTTCCCATACAAAACAAACAGTGCTTCGATGTTTTATGTGCAATTAAAGAGAATTGCGGGCATGTTTTCCTTTCACTTGAAATCGACTTCCTTCCATTGAAAGTATTTAATTAATTTACTTAATTAAGTTATTATTAATCTGATAATTATATAAATAAAATAAATAGATAATTTCTATTTCATCGTTTATAATAATTACGCAGCTTTTTACTGTAAAACAAAATCAGAAAGAAATTTTTCTCCTATATGGAAAGTTAATTTATGAATACAATCAAGTGAATAACAATTTTAATTATTTAATTGGATTTATTGATTATCGATATATAAAAAAATGTATTGATTGCCATTAAACTTGCACTGCCTGACCCAGTTTTGATAACTGTTAATGAGCTCGTTGGCAAGTCATTCAATTTGTTGTTTTGAATTGTCGCTGCAAATCGCTTTAAAACCCGGCCGGCGTCAGGCTGACTGCGGATAATAAAAAATGAATTTATAAAATAATTTAAAATAAAAAATATCTTTTCACTTAATATGCAAATTAACTTGAGATAAATATGAAAACGTTTAACATTGAGTGAGGTTAGTATTATAAATTACTTAAATTGATATTCTATTCTATTATTGAAAATATTGTGTTATGACTATATCCATATAGTCATAGTGTCTTTTACCGGTTATTCTTCTCTTACTTGTTTTATGGAACAATTTAGATTTTAATGATTTCATGATTTTGGTTTCATATTTTTATTAGGCAGTCCGAAGTCCTATACTCCACAACAGTAAGTAAGTCTAAACAGCTGTAATAATCTTAAGTAGCTAACAGCAATTAATTTTAATAATTTTAATTTTAACGTAATAATCTTAAGTAGCTAATAGCAATTAATTTTATTATTTAATAATAAGAACCTCTGAATGGTTCTTAACTCGAGAGGTTGGATTTAACAATGTTGTCTCAACAAAAAATCGAACAATCAATTGGTAACGAGAATGTTATAGCAAAACATTGCAAAAAAGCTCTCCCTCTCTCTCTTGTAATTACCACTTTAACCACCCAATCAACCATGGATTCCATTTGACCATATACACGTATCAGTATAAACGCTCTCATTGGATTTCCAAGCAATTTCGTCGATATAATCAAAGCTATACGCTTGGATATAGTTTCCTTTGCTATTCTTTGGGTTGAACATTCAGTTAGAAATTGCAACTCCTCATAGAATAATAAAAATGAATACTCAATTCTATCCACTTAACTTTGGACTTTAACCACACCTACCATTATACTCCCATTACAAGTGCCTGCCTCTTTTATAAGAACAGTAGAAGCTGTTAGCCCTGGCCCTCGTGAGTCCAATCACTACCATTTTTACTCCAAACAGTGTTGGGTGGTTCCAGATAATGGATTTTTAACGTCTCTGATGACAGGCATGCCTTACCATGATAATATTCTAAGCCGATTCTAGCGGGGGTAACATAAGAGACAGATTGATGTTTATAAGTTCAGATAATATATATGGTTGCAGCACAAATTGTTGTATATAGTTTTTCTGTTTTCTCATATTCAATTCTTGGCATTGTAATTTAGTTTAATAGGTACTTGAATTATATAATATAGAAATCAGAACATTCGATGCACTTTCCACTCCCCAGATATGGTTTTAGTGGGTTCAACTCTCACACTTTGGCTTTTGATATCTCAAAAACAAAATTTTGATGTATTCTAAGGGGATTGTATATTTTCAATCTGAATATATGTTATTTAAGATTGGAGACATAACAGTGAAATCGATGAAAATTTTGAACGTTGTACAGGATATCAAAGAAAATTTTATTAAGTGTTAAAAAAATAAAAATGTGTAAGTCAACATAAATATCTTTTTATGCTTAAGTATAAAAAGATTCTGAATTTATTAGTTTGTCAAGACTTAAGTATAGTACAATCCTTATCCAAAAGAAGGAATTAAATGGGGACTATTGAAAATAATACTGATTTGATAAGTTTTTAGGAATATTATACTCTTTTACTAAAGGAGCAAAGCATTACATACCTGTAATGGGCATATTTCTTAAAAAAATGTTGAACCACAAAACATGCATAAGTTCTTCTATTTATTATATTTTTATACCTAATACTATCTAACGACAAATGAGTTATGCATACTTGATCATTTTTGTATCTAACACATACCAAAGTGGCAGTTATTTGTTTGGAATTTTGTTCATAATATTTTCAAAATATTTCATAAAGTAGGCGATATTTAGTTATGCATACTTGATCATTTTTGTATATAACACATACCAAAGTGCCAGTTATTTGTTTGGAATTTTGTTCATAATATTTTCAAAATATTTCATAAAGTAGGCGATATTTAGTTTCAACTAAAATTAATATATCTTGTTTGGCATTTAAAAATAATTTGAGTTACAGTCAACTTCAAAATTAAGAGAAAAAAAATTAAATTTGATTTCCAAAATTTTGGTGTGTAATAAATTTGCAAAGATGACACGTTCTCAAAATTTAAATGATGCGGTCAATAGTGAAACGTCTGTGCGTTATATGTTGAAGGACTTCAAAGATGAGGTTAAAAGAAGATTAAAGAAAAACAATAACCTTGTACGCAAGTTCAAAAGGGCAATTAAAAACTATCGCGATGCTCATCAAAAAAGCTTGAAGATCTGGCATCAGGAACTGAAAAAGAAAAATGTACCAATCGCTGCACCTTCACCTACACCCTCACCTTCACCTAGTTCTAACGAAGTTGATTTTAAGGAAAGGATCAGTGTGTGTTCGGTGTTAAGTGATAATACAGGTCAAGATTCTTTGGATGATTCATCCAGTTCGGACTCAGAATCGGTAAACATTCAGAAGGAAGTGAATTGGAAGAAGCCGAAGGATAAGATGAAAGCAGCTCCTCGTAAAAGAGGAAGACCTAGGAAAAAATCGGTACCCTTCTGGAAGAAAAAATCCTAAACATGTATATCATGTGCTATTCACCTCATGATCCTCCATAATAATGGTCAAAACTGGTTAAGTATGAAATGTTAAGTTCTTAATTTTAATAATCTTCTATCTATTTTTTTGAAGATTATTACTAAATAGGAAATCTATCGACCTATTGTTGATGACTATTTTCTATAAACTTCATTTTATTATTAAATCGAAGGCATTGTGGTAATTATTCATAATTTTTATTTGTATAATTTTCAAGATATAATTTAAAATATATTGTATAACGTACAGACTATTTTGTGGAGGATGTATTCCATCTATGACATGAGGTGTAAATTAGGAATAGAAGGAGAATTTAGGGAGTGATGTTAATTATTTGTGATTCCGATGTAAATATCATATCCTGAAGTGTATTATATGTGCCTACAACTCTTTCGTGGCAGAAGTTGTTATTGGACTGAAAATTACTTAATGAATTCTATTCCTAATAGAAATACGATTACTTATTATATCAAGCTTAAGATTTCTAAGTTTTCTTAGAAATTATATACCCATAGAAGATCGGAGCATGATGGTAATTATTTATAATGTTGATTTGTATAATTCTTGAGATAAATTTCAAATAACGTTATGTAGGTATCATATGTAGGGAATCATTTCTTCTCTGAAATGGCATGTAGAATTGGAAGAGGAGGAGAATTTGTGAGGTAATGATAACTATTCATGGTTCCGATATAAGGAGTATAACCGCAACTAGGTATTATATAAGCCTAGGAGTTCCAAGTGGGAAAATAAATTTCAATTGGATGGGAAAGAATATAATATATTATATTCCTAGTTAAAACCGCTAATAGAACCGCTATGTAAGTTATATATTAATTAATTTCTTTTTAATTGCTTATTCTAAGAAAGCTAATGTAATTTAAAATTAAAGGTGTCTAATAACGCAAGTTGACTGGATAACTGATGCCATGACGACGAAGAAAAGCGGCCGTTATCTTTGCACATAGTTAGGGAACCCAGGAGGGTTCTTACGCAATTGTACTTGCGTCTAATTTTTGTTTGTTAAAAACATTCATTTTTTCTTATTAAACCAAAATTTTTGTTATATTTTTATTTAAACATTAACTTTTATAAAGACATTTCTAAATTAATTGTATTTGTACAAAAGTGAGACATTTATTATTAAAATAAATGTTTAATTTATTTATTTTTGTAAAACATAAAAATTTTAATTTCTTGATTTAAAGTTCCACAAACTTTTAGGATAAGGGAGTATCATTCAAAACTAATATTCTGTGTATTAACTGGGTAATTTCTTGTGTTTTTAATATTAAACAAGCTAAATCATCTACATTAAATTAAAAAAAAACACATATATTATAGTAAAAAAGTCACAAGATGGCGATGAACAGATATTTCTTCTTTTTTGTTTGATGAAATCGAGTTAGGGTCTGAAGCACAGTTATAGCACGTTTACACTAGCTTCGTTAGACCAGTTAACTTTCTTAAGACTTAGTAATTCAAGCAATCTTAAGTAAGTTAACTGGTGTAACGAAGCCAGTGGAAACATACTATTACTCAATAGTGTCTCGAACTTAAGAAACGCAAGTGTAGTATAATTAAAAGCAAGGAAGCCATGTTAACTTTTTGGAGAGAAGAATTCAAGTCAATTATATAAGGATGTGGTTTACGATTATGTTTGTAAAATAGGAAACATACGATAGAGAAGATATAAGCACACCTATAAATATCAATAAAATGATTTTTGAACAAAAGTAATGGGATTATTGCAGTGCAATAATCCACAAAACTACCCAATGTTTAGAATTTAAAAATATATATAAAGTACACGTTTTCATGTGTTTTAGAGTACACGTGAGTATGCATTACGATGTATATCAAGATGTACACAAAGGTTTATATAAATATATATATATTCAGATGTTTTATATACATATTCATATGATCATATCACACATATGTTTAAATAATAATGTATTTAAGGATGTATATAAAGATGAATATGAAGATGTATATAAAATGTCATTTTTTTCCACTTCATTTTTCTTTTGTAGGGGAGTATGTGGAAATTGAGACCACTTGAATTTTATCTATAGCTGCAAAAAAGAACTTATATTCGATTTCACCCTACTTTACCTCCCCTTCTTTGTCACAAAGATATATATAAAGACGTATATGAAGATGCTTTTAAGCTTTTTATAGCATCCATTACCTCTTCATATTTCGGATCTTTAATTTCTGGATCAACGTAGTATATATCTTCTTGGTTCACTTCATTGTTATTCTGCTTTGTATTTAGAAGGCTTTTAAAGTGGTGCTTCCATGTGTTTATCATGTCTTTCTTATAATTTACAATTTCTCCTAGAGCGTTTTTACACATATTTGTTCGAGGATGGTAGTCTTTTTTGGTATTATTCACTTGTTTATAAAATGCCCTTACTCTGTTGTTGCCAGCATCTTTTTCTATATCTTCTATTTTCTTTTTGATAGCTTCTCTTTTGTATATGTTTTCTTTCAGTTTTTCATTTCTCCTTTGTAGGAGAGTATGTGAAAACTGAGACCATCAGATTTGTAGAGCAATTGATTCGCCCTTCTTCACTTCTCCCTCTTTGTGCAAAATTTAAGAATGTGATCTGGAATGTTTGATGTTGATATTCTTCAAGAACTTGACTTGTTCTATTTTGCAACAATTCTTGATTTTCGAAAATACATCTTCCTTTAAGTAATCACATTCAAAAAGTAACCTTAACTTCCTCTACGCAATGCGTGCTGTATTCACTCACTTTTATTTCTAACGATTTTCAATCTTCAGTCACCCGAAGTGCTTTACAGTCGCCACTGTCTCTCCAGTGATTGCATGTTCGCATGTGATTTGTTTATTAATTTTTGCTTACTAAACGCTGGGCTTGCATTTTTAAAAATTCATATTCAAGTTAACATTTATGTAAGCAATTCAGATTTAAATAAGCAAACAAACCTTTTTGCATTCAGAAATGTGTTTTTGTGTATCTAAGCATTGTCAGGCATTCTTCATGCATGCGATTTCATTCATTATTCCAGTGGCTCAATCTCAATCTCAATCGGCTTCTAAGCGCTTTTAAATGAGGCACTTCCGCTGACAGATACTTGGAGAAACGTGCGTCCTCACGTCTTTCAATTATTATTTTCGAGCGAATTTCTGAATTGTTTTTTACGCTTTTATGATTTATGTTTTACATTAAAAACAATATTCACTTGATTTCTTATAATTTTATTTTTGTTTTTTATTTTTTATGACTAACTTTATTGGTTTGGTGTACTCAAGTTCTTATCTAACGCTGACTTGGCGTTGTGCATACTTAAAGAGTTTGTACTGCAAGCAAGACCATTAGAATTTTATATAGCATTTATTATATCTCTGAAGTATATGCAGATATGAGCTTAAGCAGTTATAGGTAAGTATTGGTTATGTATTTAAAAATTATTATTTATGTCTATTAGTTATTATTTTTATTCTTAATTTATGCGTTATTAAACTATAATTATAATTTCATACATATATGATAAAATAATATATTAGGTTGTTCGGATAGTGATTTCGTTTCTTCCCGACAGAGGATGTAATTGTATTTACTTTTTTGCCAGCAAAGACCAAAAATTTTATGAGCGTGGAATTATGCTACTATCAGAAAGATGACAAAAAGTGTTGGACCAGAACGGCCAATATATAATTTAATAAAGTATTCGTTTATTATACGAAAACTGTCTTTCATTTCCACAAAAAAAAAAAAACAAAACTACTTTCCGAACAACCTAATTCATATAAAAACTTTATTTTCCAAACTAAAAGGTTAAAAATATCTACATATACATTTTCTTAGCTATACAACCCAAAAATATAATCCAAATCAAAGTCAAGCACCACATTTGGTACTGTTTCAAATTTTTTATATCTTAAGTCTAAAAATTGTATAGGAATAACTAAGTCCAGTAATATCTCTAAATCCCACTGAGCACTGGTATATCCAGGAGTAATATAATCTCCTGATTATAATACAAACTGTAATACAAACTATACTGTTGCTTAATTTTATTTTAATTAATTTAGTTAACAGCAAAAACATAGCCAAACAAAATACTTTCTGATATATCATCCTCTTTGCGACCATCCTAACTATACTATTGCCACTGAAGATAGATATTTGCTAATACCCAAAACAGTTGTATGGTTAATCCAAAAATTTAGTAAATTATTTTTATTTTAAAATAATAATTATTTAAGATAACATATTTAATTTAAAACTACATTGTATGAAAACGGCTTTACCCGAAAAAATATGAAACTTTACAAATGGCGGCAAGTCTAAGATTACTGACAAGGTTGTGAGCCTAGGATTGTAGACGAGAGAGTACTAGACATTTATTGACAATCTTTTTAGTGAGATTTATGTTTCATATATTATTAGTAGATATTATATAGACAAACTATCGTATTTTAGGTGTGATTAGGACATCAGTTCGATTTTGCCTGGAAGATGATGGTATATTTAATCTTTATATTTTATGCTCTATTTTAGGTCAGAATGAGGAAGCTGAGGTAGAAGTTTCTATCCTCTGAGGTAGTAGTTTCTCTGTGATGACAACTTCTTAATGACAGATATTTTGGTTTTAATTTGAATTTCATTTCATTTGGTTACTTAATATTATAAGTAACTTATTACTTATTATCAGTTACTTAGTTCTGCCAAAAGCGATAATTTGAACCTCTACTATCAGCAGTTAATGTGATTGATCAAAAAATAGTGTCAATTAACGTAGATACGTTTTAAGACTTTGCTCGATATCAAGCCTCCAATTGTTTGAGCAACTATTTGCTTTTTTGCTATTCGTAAATTTATGTCTATAATTTTTCTACCACCTTATTATGTTGAGGCTAGTTGAGTTAGTGCACCTGAGCACTTTTACTCTCTATTAACTGCAAGGTTTCTTCAAAACCCCTCTTTGCGCCTTGACTAGATTATTGTTTATCACTTCTACAGACTAAGCAATAATTGACCTCAGATCTGCATACCTCCCCGAGGAGCCTGTAACCATTCTGAGATTTGATAACGCGGTGTTGGTAAGTCTGTCAGATTTCGTAAATAATTTCAGGGCTCTATCTTTTATGTATTTTTTGATGGGATCAATTTTGATGTACCTCCTGTTGCTGTTGTTTTTATTGTGTGTAATATATCTCTGTTTCTATATTTATATATAACTTTATTTCTCTCTGTCTCTCCTGGTTGGTTGCTATGACAGTAGATATGACTTATAACTTTCAGTATAACTTTCCATTGACCGCAGTCAACCTTTTATCGCCGTTTTTCCATCACAAAAATATTTAATAATAAATAATGCAATAATATTTAGAATAGAAAGATACTGACACAATCTAATTCATCGAATTTTAAAAAACAAATTTAGATAATTTAATAAGTCTTATGTTTTTACCGACGAACTGTCTGATAAGCTGTCAAAACATTACTTCTTAAAAAATCTATGTCTTTGGATGCTAAAACTGGGCATTCACAGAAAAAATCTTTAACAGATGTTTTTCTCTCTCTCTCTCTTTCGCTCTCTCCCTCTCTCTTTTAGTGCAGAATTAAATATATATAATAAAGTTCTTAGTTGTTGTGAAACCACTTTAAATGATGATGCTCACAGATCTAGCTGAATACGAATACATTTTAAATGGCAATGAAGATGCGATGGAAAATCATTACTTTCATTGCTGCTCTCATTACAAAAGGTCTATTGCTTTCATTGGTTTTTTTTTTTGCTGCCATAACTATTGTTTTTTTCTATGTGTTGACCTGATCTATATAATTAATCACCTAATCTATAGGTGCTGTTGAAGTATATATGAGCCACTCTTCATTATGACTAATAGTTTTTGCCCAGCCTATTATCTAAATCGTTGTTAGTATTTTTTAAAAAATTTGTCAAAAAACAAATTATCTTTTTTCAGAACATTACTATATTAACTATGTTCTTAATTAAGATTCACTAATCTCACTACTTAGACATATTCAGGAAACGTAACTTTATATTTCGCTGAGTTTTATTTTTCAATAAAAGCAACTAAAATAGATTTCAAAATTTTTCATAATAGAATTGGAAATGTTTTTGTCTACATTTTGAGGCTTTGTGTTGCATGTCAAATGCATTTTGCATATGCAGAAAAGCGCAGTAAAAATTCTCACGCCACTTAATAAAAAGCGGCAACATAATTTAAACTTTGGCATTTGGCAACAATGGAACAAGTTTCCCGACCGCGGCCGCTCCGTTCCGTACATGAAATAAAAATTTGTTTCACTCACTGCCGAGTTGCGGAAAAATACATCATGTTGGGTACCAGCCAGAGCTACCAGGCGGAGATACCGGCAGAGGTACTGGCATTGTTTAATTTCAGAAAAAAAAATGTTTTTGTTTTTGTTTTTGCTTTTGCATTTATGTAAATACAAAATGTAAATGTAAATATGTAATGCCAAAAAAATTTTTTTAAAATTTTTAAAATTTTTTTATTCTAAAATTTCAAATTGATGTTGCATTTGCTTGTCGTGGTCGTAGATGTCGTTGCCATTGTCGTTGTCGCTGTCGTTGCAATAGTCTATTCTGCCGCCGATATCAGACGATAGTAATATTTAAATTGCAACTACATAGATTAAATTTGCATAGATTTTACTGGAGACACATTGCTTTACCAATGCTATAAAGAAGGTAAGGTTTCATTTTATGTAAGTATTATGTGTTTATTTTTCTTAGAATTTTTCCATCAACTATTAAAAGTAATCAAAATTATAGGCGTTGAGGTTGCACCTTCATTGTGCGTATGCCGTACGTGTTGTCAATTGTGCCCACAATTCCTGTCATTAAAATTATTAGAAACGTTAATCTTAAATCATCTGAAGAGAGAACCCGGAGGTGACACTACAAATGTTCACACCTTTCAATTATTAACTTTTTATGGAAAAAAATACATATATGGATAACATAAATATAACTATGGAAGAAAAAATATATATTTTTTAGAAATCAATTCAGGAAAATATGAATTTTAATCGTTGCGTAAATTATGACTGATGTTACAATACAGTGAAAGCAAGATATAGGAGAGGAGGCCCTATGCTGCACTAAGAGAGATGGCCGGCAGTAAGTAAGTGAGATGACATAGGAGACATAGGACATAGGAGATGCTTTTTCCCCAACGTAGAGTTCAGAAAGGATTGGATAAGGGTATGCAAGTTGTTTAGTATATATAAAATAAAAGAATTTCGAATATTAAGAACCACATAGAAGAAGTGCATAGACTTCGCTATTGAATGAGAATTAAATAAGATAATATATGCTAAGATCAAAAGTCAGGTCTTATAATAACATCTCTAAAATAGGCAACAAAATATTTGTGAATTATCTATATATATTATATATAGAAATGGTATTTAGTTCAGATACTATAACCATTTAATTGCATATAACGACTATACCTATATACCATCGATTTCCGGCTGTGAAGAAAATGTCCATTAAGCAGATAAAGCTTTTTACAAAAGATTTTATCAATAAATTGGAAAATCTGAATCATCCAGTTTATATATATAGATGTAAGGTATGAATTATTTAAGCACATCAAATTAAC